AACAAAAGCTTCACTACAGTTTTTTTTTTCAAGCGGCAGACCAAATCCTTCAACATTATTCGCCAACATACTCTGTGTATATATAACAAACACTTTAGTCCCTTAACTGTTTGTTATGAATGATCAAAAAGCACCAGGGGACACTACATGCACCAACAAACATCATATTTTAACTAAAACAATATTTTAACCCCGCAAAAAGAACATTTTAACTAAAACAATCATTTGGCAGGATGAAGTAGTAGCAAGGATAGAGGAGAGGATTGCTGCTTGGACTTTCCTTCCGTCGGGTACTTTGACTTAATCTAACCATTTCATCTTGCTTTTTCTGTTTTCTCAAAAGTTTGTAATATTATATCAATTATTCTTTCCATGCTCAGAGAATGGCGAGTCCATTCAAATATTACACTATAAGAATGGTGAGAAGTATGAGCCACACTATGATTTCTTCCATGACAAAAATAACCAAGCTCTCGGTGGTCACCGAATAGCAACAGTGCTCATGTACCTGTCTAACATTGAGAAGGGTGGAGAGACCATCTTCCCTAACGCAGAGGTAATTTCCTTGCTCTTTCTTTCCTGACTTTCTTAGGCATCCCTAAAAAAAGAACTTTTCTTAGGTATCCCATGCACTAATTCAGATATTCTGCAGGGGAAGTTAACACAACACAAGGATGAGACGGCATCTGAGTGTGCTAGAAATGGATATGCAGGTACGGTTGACAGGCTCTAAAGATACTGAAGTACTTTTGAGATCCTTGCACACCATATTGTTACCTCTGTACCCCTTTTTTTTATAGCTTCAATACTCAGTAGAGCTTAGTTCTTCGATGTGCATCTTAATTTTGCATATCTTACTGGCTCCATATGCAATGACAATTGACGTTATTGTGAAGCTTAAATTGTTTGTCGTCCTATGCAGTAAAGCCCGTAAAAGGTGACGCCCTGCTGTTCTTCAGCCTCCACCCTGATGCAACGACAGACCCTGACAGTTTGCACGGGAGCTGCCCCGTCATCGAAGGCCAGAAGTGGTCCGCCACGAAATGGATCCATGTGAGGTCCTTCGAAAACTCGGGCAAGCAGGGAGGCTCCGGTGACGGCTGCGAGGACGAGAATGTCCTCTGCTCGCAGTGGGCTGCCGTTGGGGAGTGTGCCAAGAACCCCAACTATATGGTGGGCACCAAGGAAGCTCCTGGCTTCTGCAGGAAGAGCTGCAACGTCTGCGCGCAGTAAGTTAATTCTTGATCCACTCATCCACCGTCGTCACACGGCATCGATAAATTATTGGCCCAGTACCGGGTCCAGCGTGTGTGTGACTGCTCATAGATAGCATGTGTGACCTGGAATGGAATTAAATGTAAGATCTATCATCTTGTCTTTCGTACAAGAAACTGCAGCTGGAGAAAGAAAAATACTACACTAAAGAACTTATTTTAGGGCTGCTAAGAACTTTCTTGTTTACCCGTTTTGGCCGAGCAATCAAATTAATGACGATGGATCGAGCAATCTTGTTCCCTTAGGTTAGTGTTGTCTCCTTGGACCTCAACGTTATTATGTTGTTCTGGCGGGACAAGAAAACAAGATGGCAGCACAAAATGGAAAAGAAAACGATCTTATCTGATCTTATCTTGACGTGGTCTTTACTTGTTGAGCTGTTGGTTCGCTGAGGACATCTTCAATGGTCATAAAGTTTGTTTTTGATGATGTGTCATGCAATAAATAAGGAAAGAGAGAAAGGTTGCATGTACTCCCTCCGTTTTTGTATAAGATTTGCCAAAGTCAAACTTTGTTAACTTTGACTAAGTTTATTATAAAAAAAATCAAAATTCATAATATGAAATCGATATTTTTAGATGACCATGAAATTAATTTTCATACCATATAAGTTTAATATTGTAAATGTTGATATTTTCTTTTATAGAGTTGGTCAAACTTTACAAAGTTTGACTTTGACCAAATTTTATATGCAAACTAAAAAAACGGAGGGAGTACATGGACCAACACCCCTTGCACAAGCTTCAATGTAGAATGGGAGAGCATTTTATTTATTATCTCATATCTTATTGGACAAACTAGATAGAACCCATTGAAATGTAGAATGAGAGAGCACTTTATTTATTATCTCACATCCTATTGGACAAACTAGATAGAACCCATTGAAGATGTTGTATATTAAAATGTTGGTTGATGACATGACATATTTTACCAGCAAGCTAACATACAAACGGTTGGAGATGTCTTGAGTGGGACGGAATCTACCAAACCGAATAACTTTGCTTTTATATATCCTGAGCTGTAGCCTGCAGGTGGATGTTGACACGAGCAAGAATAATTTCCTGTCCCCCAATTTCTCATCTACTTATTCCTTTTCTCGGTTTGTGTAGTAAAACTGCATTCAACTCCCAGCTGGTACAATGGTAACATGCTCAGAGAAGATCACAAATGGAGTATACGTAATAATCAAAGAGGAGAAGATAATTACTGCCGGTGCATATGCACATCCACACAAGCAAATCAAATAATTAAATATGGATATGGTAAAACACCAGAATTAGCCACGGGGCAAGCAACATTCGTTTAGCTAGTGTGCTTTGTTCACCGGCTTGACGTCCACGATGCCGTCGTTGCCGGCGAGGGCCCGGTACTTGTCCTTCCTGGTGAGGCTGGTGCACTGGTAGGAGAGCGTGGCAGCGATGAGCCTCTGGATGTAGTTGGCCACCTCGTGGCTTGGCCTGCCGCCGCTGCTGCAGGTGAGCTCCGACGGCAGCTTGCTCAGGAACGTGACGGTGTACACCGGGCTGGGGTTCATGAAGAAGTAGAAGGGGTCCATCCCCTTCCACCCCCTCGCCGTGGTGCCGTGGAACATGCCCATCCGGCTCTCCATCGCCACGGGGACCACCTCGTCGGTGAGCTCCGCGAAGAGCGCCGAGAACCGGAGCAGGAACGGCTCTCGGGACGTCGTCCCCTCGGGGCAGATGACGAGGTCGCCCTCCTGCAGGAGCCTCGTGATCATGGCGGCGTCGGTGACGCGGTTACGGCTCAGGCGCACGGTCCGGATCGGCGAGAGCATCTCAGACAGCCTTGACAGTGAGTAGGTGACGGCCGCCACGGGCCGGCCGAGCGCCGCCGAGAGGAAAATGGGGTCCAGCAGCGTGCGGTGCGAGCAGGCGAAGAGCACCCCGGTGCGGCCCGCCGTGCTCCCGGCGCGCGGCGGCGGGCTGCCCTTGACCACGACGCGCACGCCGAGCGCCCAGAAGGCGTAGTAGACCCAGGGCATGGGTAGCAGCGCCCCCGCGGCGATGCGGAGGCACGCGAGGACGAAGCCCGCCGGGCACCACAGCACGGTCAGCAGCGCGGCCAGCGGCGTCGGGCGGAGCGCCAGGCGGCCGTCGTGGAAGATGACCTGCCTCCGCAGCTGGTCCATGCTAACGGCCTCCACCGGCGCCGACGGTACGATGTACGCTTCCTGCCACACACGCGAGCAGAGCCCCCACCATGTTCATCAATTCCACAATTAAAGAGATGCTCAAGATTACTGTACTGTTAAGTAATTAATACTCGTGCAGTGCGCACTAAAATGCATTAATCACGTGCAACTAGGACGCCATCATGGTTCATGACTGTCCGGCCGTATAGCTATTTTTGTTTGGGAAACGTTTGGAGACGGTGCCCCGGCCGAATCTTCGGCCGGTCGCGTCCCACGCGCGAACGCTGCAACCAATTCAGACGAGACACGTAGGCTGCCTGGGGCCACCACTTCCCTCGTCCTGTTTTTCTTCTCCACTCATCTTGTTTTCTTCCTTATCCTCTCGCCCGAGTCCACCTCCTACTGAGCTGCAGCTTTTTATTGCCGCAACCTCCTCGACCAGGCCCGGCAGCATCTCGCCGGAGAAGAGTTGCCGGTGGAGATGGCCGCCAAAGCCTCCCCCACCCCTCGACGAGCTATTTCTTCCTTCGCGCGGGCGCCTCCCCCATCCACGTTGTTCCCCTGTAAAAGACAGCGATGACGGAGGCACGGGCCCTGCGATGAGTTGCGACGGTGGCGCATGGCGACTGCGGGGACCTCGACGACGACGACGGTTTTCTGCTACGCCGGCGGACAGGTGATGTTGCAACCGTTGGCGCAAGTTGCTGGAACCAGACGTCACAGGAGCTGCGACCGGCGGCGGAATTTGCTACAACCATTATGCGCCTGTGGTGCGACCACGATGACCGTGATAACGCTTTTTGTTGCAACCGCGTAGTGTTTTTGCTACTACCAGAGATGTAATTTGCTACTACCAGCGATGATTTTTGTTACATTCATTTGTGAAGACGATGCGACCCAGGCGACGGTGACATTTTTTTGCTGCAACCGAACAATTTTTTGCTACTACCGACTACACAATTTGCTACATCAAAATCCTAGTCATCGTGGTCACCCGTGTCGTCGCTCGTCGCACCACTGCACGCCGGTTTCACCACCTCACCCCGGTTGCAGCAAATTTGCTCGCCGGTGGTAGCTTTCCCGCTGCCAGTTGCAACAAATTCGCAACCCGTCGTCGCCGGCCACACTTCGTCATCTTCCTGGTTGTAGCAAAAACAACCACCGTTTGTAGCTTTTCTCGTGCCGTTTGCAGCAAAAATTGTGGATAAAAGCTTAACCATGAAAAACACCTTCGAGCGGCATGGGAAAAGCTTCAACCGATGTATGAAAAAGCTTCAACGGTGTGTGAAAAGCTTCAACCTTGAAAAAAAGCTTCAATGGCCATGGAAAAACAGCTTCAACCCGGCATGGCCGTTGATGGCATGACGGTGCTGCATCGCCACCGAGCTATGACCATCACTACGTGGAGCTGCGACCAGAGGAGGCAGCTGCTACATGTGTGGAGCCGGGGGCAAGGAGATGCAGATGGCAACCAGCGACGAGGACGGCCAGCGAGGGTCTCGACCGGCGACGAGGATGCCGCGGTGGAGCTTCAAGCTCCGTTTTTCTCGCGGAGGTATGGTGGAGGTGTCGGCGGAGCTCGAGGCCGTTGCAATTTTTATCCAGGAGGGGAGGGGAGTGGAGGGGAGGGTGGGTGTGGGGAACGACTGTGAGGAGGACGAAGCGGGGTTCAGATCTGACGGCCTTAATTGCTATATCGGGCGGCTGTGGCTTGACCGGCCCAACGGTTGGGCGGTGCGCCGGCGCCCATCAGTCCCCTTTTTGTTTGGCTTAACACCAAACACCATACACGTATCACCTCTGATTTTATAATAAATGTCGCAGTTTTGAACTAAAACCAGTTTAAAAGTGCGACACTTATTTTGAATCATAGTGAGTAGTACCTAGCTATCTCGTGACTAATATTCTCTTCTTATCCCGTAGGAAAGGTATTTCGTGTCGTATGGTGCCGTTAAATATGATGTTGTAACCTGTGTGCATGCACTATCTACCGGTCTTTAGATTTAACTTTGTTCTATCCAACTAGGTGCACCAAGCGCTGACCGTATGAGTGTCCTAACTGTATCTTTGTTCTTGCTATCTTGTATACTGCTCCTTCTGTCCCAATAATATAAAAACGTTCTTAACATTACACTAGTATAAAAAGTGTTTTTATATTATGAAACGGAGGAAGCACGTACAATCTTTAATTTTCTTTTATCTTTTATTTTTTGAACAATAAAGTTACTGGTACTACAGGAGTAGTAAATTGAAACCACCACTTACGGACTTACCTACCAACCTACCAGGTACGCTGGCCGTGTAAATGTAATTGATGCTGCCGGTCTTTTGCCTCCGTTTCAAAATACAAAAAAAAATTGATGCTGCCGGAGCTTTTCTTTAATCAATCAATGTTGCGTAGCGCGTAGGTAGGGGCAAGCAAGGCCGTGTCGGGTCCTTCACCAGCACGCTCATAACAGCGGGCATGGGAGCCAAGATGTGATCCAACCAACCATACTGTTTGCGTGTAATCTTAGTGCATCTGTTAGAGCACAATAGGGATAGTTGGTAAGTAACTAATCTTGGGATGGTGCACACGCGCCGAGGACTAACAGATGCAGAATAGGGATGTTCTTTTTTATTGAAACAAACAATAGGGATACTACCTCCGTCCGGGTTTATTAGGCCTCTCAGCATCACAAGCATGTCTCCTTTTATAAGGCCCCGTTTTGAAAAGGTGCATGCATGCAACCATTTCATTGGTTGCATTAAAAGTCATCGTTGTTGGTGTCATGGCTAGAAAATTAATACACTTCATGCGTGCTTT